GCTGCTGACTACAAGCCCGCAGCCAGTTTCCCTTAGCAATGGCCCTTCCTCCCTCCAAGCCTGTCCCTGTTTTCAGAAGGGGTGGTGGGAAAAGGAGCAGAAGGAGCTAGTTTTAGGGGGTCCCCAAGCCAACACTGGAGGATGGGGTGGATGAATTGGAGCCCCACCTCCAGTGAAGGCTGAGAAAACTCCAGACTGAACTCCCTCTGCTCCTTTCCCCTCCTCCCATGCTGAAAATAGCTTGGAAGCTGGGAGGCAGGCAGAGACAAGTTACAGAAGATGCTATGTTTTGAAACATCTTCATGAGGGTTCAGATTTTTGCAGGATTAGGCCCTTTTTAAGCGTTTTGCATCTGTGAACTTCTGTTTGGTCACAGGTGTAGAGCACTTCCAGGGGCCAGATTGGGCAAAAATTGTCGCTTCTGTCTTCACCCAAAAGATACTTCACTGGAGTAAGAAATTTCATATTACACTTTTGAGCAAAAGCCCATGGAAGCAAATAGGAAAAAAAGCAATCTAGGATTAGGAACTAATGACAGCAATAGTATAAAGAGACAGATCTAGTCTTTACAGTTTCATTTTAGGTAGAGAACATCTAAGATGGCCTGGTAAAGCAGTTCAGCATACACATGAGTCTCCAGCAGAGGCTTAAGTACATCCCATTAAAATAAGTGCAATTTAAACAGTTTAGGTACATGCTTAAATACTTATACTGAGAGCCAAGGTCAGGACTAGGTATTTGTCACCGAAAACACACTGAGTAGCATCTGCAGGTAGGGTCCACCCACAGAAGAGAAACTGGACAGATCCTTTATGTGGAAGAAAAAGAATTAAAAGTTTTTGAAAGGGAAAAGTAATAGAAACCAACATTCAAGACTGTAATCCTGCATATGTCTCCAGGAAGGTGGATTTATGACAGCCAGGCTGAAAAGGCATCCAGAGAAATCAAGGAAACAGAATTCATAAGGCATGACAAACCCTGTACCCCTCTGCTGGAAAACTTAAAATATTACCTTAGTACTAAGACTGCATGTTGTGTTACTGAAGATCACCACAGTGTTTTTATCTATGTAGGACTGTATCTGCAAAATCAATTCTGCATCTTTACTTTTAGTACTGGATTTAGTGCTATCTTCTGTTCTGGAAGCTGTAATGGCTCTCCCATTGTTTGTATTCTGTGTTACTTGATGAAAATCTTCTTTTGCTATAAGAAATAAAAACAAAGTGGAGTAAGCAGAGACAGAATTGCAAAATGGTTTGTGATAAAAGTAACACCCTGATAAAGAAATACAGATGAAGTTAAATCAATGACTTTTTTTTAAAAGTTTAAATAAAAAGGAAATCTAACGTTAGTTACCTCACACTTCATTTCATTGCTCTCTATGCTCCCCCAGCCAACATCAAGCAAAGTTGAATCATAGCCTCCTTCCTGAACCAATAAAAGTCAATGGTGAAATTCCCATTGACTGTAATTGGGGCCAGGAACTCACTCCACATCTTGTTATGGATAACCCTGCAGAAACACATTTTTTTCATGCAAAACATGGCTGTGGTCCAGATCTTCCACTTGGATTTGTCTAGGAAGATCCAGCATCCTTGTGGAGTCTCATTAAAAGGGTCTACCTATGCAGATCTTATTGCAGAATTGATAACTATTGTCTAAGCATGAAACTTCCTAGATAGTCTTCTACCTTCAACGTACTGTTTTTCCTACACAGCTCTGGGATGTTTTCAATGAGGAATTCAGGGATTTAACCATGCTGCTCTAATTAGTGCTACGGGGGATATGTTTTGAGAGGTAAATAAAGCATATGATAATCTGAAATGTTTCCTAAGTTTTCACAATATAAGTCACACAAGCCTACTACAGAATAAGACTGTGGCAATTAATTTAATAGTTCATAAACTTCAAATTATACCTTTTCTTACTTACAGTATTTACTACTAATAATATTTCAGTATTTTTAACATTTCTGTCTCCCATTCTATTTTACTGTAAACTAAATCAGCCTAGTTAAAATAAACAAATATAGAAAAGTTATGGCTCTTTACTATAATATCAATAGTTTAAAAAAGTTTCTTATAGTTATTAAAACCATAATCTAGTAATAACATAAGTAATTTTAGTACAGTGTTTTCCATTTTAGTTGTACTAATATATGCATGCAATATATTTGTATAGAAATAATATAAAACAAATTACAAATTTAAAAAAATGCAAATCATTATACTACCAAACTTTCTGTGATCTATTGGATGTAGCCATTACAAAGCATTTTCATCCAACTATTAATTTCAAAGCAAAGTCAGTTTCAGCATGACTTGTTATAAGATGATAAAAGTATCGCGCATATATATAATTATAGAAGCATGACCAAGATGGCCTACGCAAATGAAGTGGCGAGTCCGTAAACTGCAGTGTCACTTGTCTGAGATGATCTGCATACCTGGACTTCCTGTATTGCCACTTGGAATTATTGTGGTCACTACGGAAGCTATCATAATAATTAATATATACAACATCTTTCATCACAGTGTTTTGCACAGGAGGTGAGTTCTATTAACCTGATATTTATAAGTGGGAATCCTGAAACAGGGTGACAAAGCGATTTGCACAAGGTCATCAAGCAAAGCTGAAAACAGAATCCTGATCTCTTGAATCCTAATCCATTGCTCTGTTCACTAGCCCACACTGACCCCAACACAACTGAAATTACTGAATTATTCCCAGACTGTCTCAATTTTCCAGGTGTGGATTTTAGTCGCACAGAATATTAAAAATAAACACAGAAGACTGTTCTTCACAGAAGTAACTACAATCAAACATGTATCAGAAGTGCACGTGGTCAAAGGAAGCCTGGCTTTCCTAGGTGGAGTAACCAGTATGTATAGGATGACTGTAGGGGACAACGTGAAACCTGGGCACTGCATGCCCATGATCCTTCCACTCTGCCTCAGTGCCCCACATTTGGATGCTCATTTTAATTTTCCCTGGTCAGCTGGGACCAGCTGCCAAAATCCAGGACTGTCCCAGCCAATCTAGAACCCTAAATATGCAAGAAAGCATTTGAGGCATGGGGTCACGTTTTTAAAAGTATTTATGCCCCCAACTCAGGAACTGGAGCTACCTCTGACCTCAAAGTAAGGGAGACAATACTTCCATAGCCTTTTCAGGTGAGTCTGTCTAAGAGAGGGCAAACTCAACATCAACTCCAAGCAGTCCAAGTTTATGAACCTTGGAAGGGTAACCAAAGCAGGGTAGAATTGCTGATATCCTAACAGTCCAGCAAGCCACAGCATAGCATTCTAATCTGTTAGATAGGGTGGATTCACCTAACAAGTCACTGGACCCAAAACTTATTACAAAAATAGTACAGTAAACCCAAGTAATACGCCTGGATTGCAATCCAAGACTTCCCAAGCCTAACAAACTGAAATAATTATGGATAATGATCAGATAGCAGTTAAAACATACTATATGCATTGTAAGTTGGAATATTAGAACTCTCTTTGCCCCAGAATGGATTAAACTATTAGTATATGAATTATGGAAGTTACAAATTTCTCCTGATGCTATAGAGAAGCTAAATTTGCAAGGTGCGTCATCATGAGCAGGGATCCAGGTTTTGTTTCTCACAGAAAAAGAGAGAAAAATATGGATTTCCCTCTTTACCTGAAAAAAACGTGGATTTCTCATTTTAATGGAAAAGCACATGGATTTTGCACTTTTGCAAAGAGCCCTCTGCAGACTGGCAGAGTTCCAGCTTGCAAGGGGCTGGGGAACAGGAGGAGGGTGGTCAGGCATGGGGCGCCATATGCATGTACATGCACATGGCCCCAGGCAGCCTAGAGAGCAGCTCCTGCAGGTAAGTCTGGGGGGGAAGAAAGGTGAAGCTAAGGCCCCCATAGGGAGGAAGTAAGTTGGGCAGGGTTGGGGCTGCTTCCCAGCTAGGTGGTCCATGAGGCCTGGGGCCAGAATGCACAGCTGCAGGACCCTGGCAGGGAACAGGACAGGGTTCCAGCAGAGCTGTGGGGCTGTGAGGGGAGTAGTGAGGGGCACCATCAGGGCCGAGAGGCTGGGGGGGGGGGG